GTCTTCGTGAGAATTTATTCTCTGTGTCAGACCTAGCAAGTAGCTTTCGGGGTTCATATGCTCTATGTCTTCGTGAGAATTTATTCTCCGTGTCAGGCATAGAGAAGTGTATCCCCTCGAATTGAACTCGGTCCACTTTAGTATGTGATGGCCTAGGATTGAGGGTTGGCAGTCCAAGGGGGCATCAACAAGGACAATTCGAGTACCTTTACTCCTAGAACTGAAACCCTGCATATAATGAACCCTAGAAATTTTCCTAATCTAAGACAGTATTGAACCTCTGTCCGTAGGTGTACACAAAGGAGAAATAAGCTCTAGCTTTTAATTTATTTAATTTATTTAATTTATTATTTTTTTCTCTCTGAATAAATGTCTGCGAACTAGTAATCATGCTGTTAGGTTAATTTTTCCAAACAAAGCATGAAACTAGAAAGCATGAGGTTAGGATATATTATATACCTTGATAGATAGAATCTTTCTTGGTACTAACCAATTTATTTATTTTTTCCTTCCCATTTTTATTTTTCATACATTTTGTTTTGCTCTAACTTGTTTATATTGATTTCTTTCGTTTGCATTGCATGATCATAGCATAACCAAAAGGTGTTTACTTGAAAGACTGTTCATCAAATTGGAAAGATCGTTAATGGAAAAAAAGTTTCATGATCAAACAAAATATGATACGGCCAAGAAAAGATAGCCTGAGGGAACTCCGAAGATAGAGGAGAGCTATACACCCAAAGATTGTATGCCCATTGAAGAGCAAAAGGAGATACGAGAAATAAGAGAGCAAATGTCCAGGATGATGGATAGAATATCTATTTTGGACAAAGGAAAAGAAATTCCTGCACAGAAAGAGAGAGAGCTCAATGAACTTAACCCTGCAATGTCAGATACGCAAGGGACTTCGGATCTTAACCAACTTGAGAAATTATAGACAATCATCATTCGTATTCACAAATCGTCTAGAGATACCAAATAAATGGTGACCACTATAAAAGCTCCCAGAGATGAGAAGAAATCATGTAATCAGAAATCATCGAAGTTTGGTCTGCTCCCGACGTCTAAAACTCAGGTTCAATCCAAGACAAAAGGTGGTTCTCATCTTGATACTATCCCCATATCATATAAAGAGTTGTATGAGAAGCCACTTGAAGCACAAGAAGTTGATCCATATTATATAAAACCGTTCCAACCTCCGTATCCGAATTGGTATAACATCAATGTTTATTGTAAATATCATGCTGGAGCTCAAGGACATACCATTGAGAATTGTCTTGCCTTCAAACGTCGAGTCCAAAGTCTTTTAGATCAGGGAATCTTGCAGTTTATGATAAATGATCAACCTAGTTTGGTAATTGAAGATCCTGCCAGATCAACACCAAATGTATTCAAAGGTAATAGCATCAGTAGGGACGTCCAGAAGGAAGAAGATTTGCTGAAGTTCGAAGCCCAAATATGTCACGATAAATTGAGCACCGAAATGGAAAGCATACAGGAAGATTTTCAGAAGGTCAGTCAAGCCTTTCAAAATGCTGGTATAGGGAACACCCCAGAAGAGTGGATAACAGGGGTCACCAAACTGAAGAAGAATTGTAACATACATGAAGGACGAGCCAAGAAGTTTTATTATAATTCACGAGTTGCAGAAGAAAGATGCAATACGTCTGTTAGTGAATTAAAAGATGTCAAGTCGAAAATCAAATGTTGAATAGTTCTATGACCAACATGGAAGTTTCATATCAGATTCATCAGCATTAGATTGATACTGAATTAAAAGCCACTATCGACAAGAACAAGACATTGAAGAAATGTTTAGATGATTATGGAGATCTTGTACGAGAACTTTGTAACCATAAAGATTCCCTTACAAGGGAAAATGAGCAACATTGCCTACAACTCTGGGAATTGAGACAAAAGATGAAGGAAAAAGACACTGTCATGAAGGAAGCTGCTGTTCAAGCAAACAATGTGGCTCATAAGCTGGTGGACATAGCTGGCTTCGCAAGAGAATTAAAGCAGATTGAGAACTCCACACCTGAGCATGAGTGGAAGTTAGTTTGGCTTTTAAGGGAAATAGAGAAGTTAGGAGTGAAAGCTATCCCCTACATGTAAAAGTTTTGTTTGATGTACCGAAGCTTTTATGTTCAATGAAATCTGTTCTAAGATGATCACTCTTGAGTAACACCTTTTCTTACATTTACATTTTGCATCTTTGCATTTTTCATTTTGTATTTGTACTTTTATGTTTACATCTTTGAATTGAACATTTTGCATTCTTATTCTTGGCATTTATGTATTTTCCCATTTACATTACATTTTTTATTTAAGTATTGTTATATACTTTAATTATAAAAACATGTAAATAATTCATGAAAGGTTCTGTAAAAGTAAAAACCAAGACCATTCATATTACTTTACCATCATCATAAAAACAATGAAGCAATCTTATGAGGGACTACAAGATCAGTGTCCAGAATAATTGACAGGGTTACCTCAGGATACAAGGAAAGAAGCATCAGATTCAGTACCAGATGGATCAAATCAAATTATTCAGTGTGTGGTATCTGATAAAGAAGAGATAATTGCTAAAGAGCAACCATGCTATCAGAATGAAGAGTCAAGAAAGATAACATACCCTGGGGCATCCCAATTGGACCCAAAGAATAGCCTCATTAATTATTCACAATATGAGGATAGATTCAAGAAGATGGATGAAGCAATCAGAAATATGAAAGATGTTAATGCTTCCCACAAAGAACTAGAAGCAAGAGAGCTCAGCTTGATTCCATATTTGGTTATTCCCCATGATTTCAAAATGCCTGATTTTGAGAATTATGATGGCACCAGTTGTCCCCTAATCCACCTGAGAATGTTTTGCAGAAAAATGGAAGGATATTTAAGTTCTGATGATCTGTTAATTCACTCTTTCCATGATAGCCTCGTTGGCCCAACAATAGTCTGGTATAATCAGTTGACTCAAGAACATATCAAGAGATGGGTTGATTTAGCTGATGCATTTTTGGGATAATATATGTATGTTAAAGGTTTAGCTCCAACAAGTATGGATCTTCGAAGAGTAAAGAAGAAAACCAATGAAAGATTTCAAGAATATGCCTTAAGATGGAGAGGAGTGGCAGCACAAGTTCAACCTCCCATATTAGAAGAAGAAATATCACGTATGTTTCGTGATTCCCTTCTAGTGCCTTTCTTCGAGTTAATGCAGGCAAATCCGACAAAGGAATTCGAGAATCTTGTGACAAGTGGAGATTTAATTGAGAATGTAATCAGTGAAGAAAACTCAAAAGTCACATCCCAGAGCTCGATTGATCAGAGAGCTAAAGTTGGTAGTGTGAATGAGTATCGCATCCAGAGTCCTCGCAACTGCAAAAGAAAAGAGTAAATAATTGTTCAGATCGACCAAAGAAAGTCATGCGATCAAGAAAAACTTTGGAAGTGTTCCAAACTTCCATTTCAGACTTGTATCCTCATTTGGTTAAAGGTCAATACATCATACCAAGACCAACTAAAGTGACATCAAACCCTTCTGCTCATAGCTATGATCAAAATAGTGTTTGTAATTTCCACTTGGGGGTAAGGGGGCATTCTACAGGAAATTGTAGGCCACTGTTAAAAGAAATTGAGATGCTTGTTGACAAGGGAGTCTTGACAAAAGAAATGATCAAGAAATGGGGGGCAAATGAGGACAATGACCCTGATCCTATTACATACCCAACATTAGAGGAGTAATGAAGCATGATAGATAAATAAGTGGAAGTGTTATCTACCACTATAGTACCTTTCTATTTTCAGCATCTTGTTTGAACTTGTTTTTTTGTTCCTTTCTCCGTTTTTTGTGCAATAAATAAATTTGTGTTGCTTTTATGGTTATGAACAAGTAATTAAGTTTTAATCTTGAGATTATTGAGTATCAAGTAGATTAAACATTCTTTTAGTTTTTCAATAATTATAGATCTTTGGCAAGTGATAAAATTATACCTTCCATCCAATGCCAATTACTTGATCCTTACTAAGACCAAATTTTGACCATACATTTATCTGAGACTCTGAAGAATGTCTCTACCTGTTCTTGAGACACCAATTCTAGATGTTTACCTTCTCGGATAGAGTTGGTTGGTTTATGATACTACCCCTTCCACCATATATATGACCTCAAAAGTCACACATTTAACCTTCCAAATACAAAATCATCATAAACAAAAAGACCTCAAAAGAACCAAACTTTCAAAATATCTGGGAATCTTCCTGCAAGAAGAGACGAGATGAGGCATCATGGACCAACTTATCGAAGATAATTTCGAGTGATTGGGACATAATCAAAGAAGAAGGAAAAAATGATTGATTGAAATATATATATCATGCATTAATTACATTTTTCATGTAAATAAAGTTAATCTCGAATATTCATCCCCCTGTGGATACCTCTTTTTACAAAGGTTTCTGTGTATGAGATGATGAACAGCATTGTTTCATTTATCCTTTAATATATATATATATATCCTTTATTGTCCCCATTTGAGCCTGAATGATTTTTCTTCTAATTCAACCCTAACCAAGGATCACCCTCCACATTGGGGGGTAAAGTGAAGGATATTTGCTCACAAGAATAAAGATTGTCAATATAGTTTTATTACGAAGACAAGTTTCCATGAAGTCAAGAAAGTTTTGAACTACAAGGTATGTCAAATACAGAGTACTTGAAGATCAATACAATCAAGAATAATGGAAAATCTCCAAAATGCAAAAGGAAAAGGAGGTGCTCAAAGCAATTGAAGTATTATACTCATCCAGTAAAGAAAGAAGAAGGAAAAAAAAAAAGAAAAAAAAAAGAAAAAGGAAAAGAAAAAGAAAAAGAAAAGAAAAGAAAAAAAGGAAAATTGAATCAAGATGGGTGACTTATTAAGCCTCAAGTTACAAGGTTGATCAAGTACAAACAAGAAGAACAAGAAATGCTGGAGATATGAGAAAATGGAAATAAATCCAAAATTTGGCAGTCTAGAGGGATCTAGATGATGGAAAAATCCCCAACAAAGCAGATCTGAGTTAAGCAAGGCAAGGTGAAGGCATCATAATGAATTGAGCCTTGGTTTGATTACTTTTAAACACTTATTTGGGCCTTTTTTATCCCTTTCTTTCGTTACCATAAGCCATGGCCTACGTTACATACCTGAAAAGTCTATTCTAATCATATATGGATTTCTAAGTGAAAGATAATATCTTCAGATTTCATTCCGCCTCTCAAGATTGATTTTTATTTACAAATTGGTTTATAAAATCTTTAATGCATGATATGAAAAAAAATGATAAATGGGGGTTCAAGATGTAAATTTTTAAATAACATCTTGAAACCAAATGAGGATTCGAGTTGAAAACCTAAAAAGGCGGCTCGAATATTGAATGGTGCAACAAACGACATAATAGATGATCATAAGCTCTTAAATGAAGCACCACACATCCCAAAAGACGTTCCTGAGATTATGGAATCAAGAAGTATCTCTACAAGATGAGCATAACAAGCATTTCTTCAAGTTAGTGGAAGCCCGAAGCGACATACTGAACCAACTTGAAATAACCTACTTTACCAAAATCAACCTACACCTCAAATCAGTCAATAATTTTGACACTTGCCATAGGACTATGATTTTTGAATGATTTAAAAGTGTAGTTGATTTATTTGATATTCATTAAATTCATTATTTATGATTTGATTATATTGTGAACCTGAAAAGGGCATTACTTTTCAAAATTCTTTCATTCTTCAATAAAGAAAGGAGAAAAAACATTTTCAAACATGACAGTCTCAAATGAGGAACGTCCTTGAAGAAATTGTTGCTTATTCTACCTCAGTTGTAGAAAAATAATGAACAAGGCCAGAATAATGAAGCTCTTCACTTTTTTTAAAGGCAAGTGGTCCAAAAAGCCAGAAAGTCCGGAGAATTGAAATTGTAACACTCTCCTATGACATCATTAGCAATCCATCAGGAAAGATTATCCCTTATTTCATGCTGAGGGCAATAAGCATTACCAGACAAATTATTTTCCCCAGCCATCAATCCATGTTTCTTGCAGATTACATCACAGAGATATAAGTCCCAGTAAGATGTATTATGGGAATGAACAAGTCACTACTTGCACTATGGTTATATCGTGATACTGGTTTAAGTCTTGATACATTCATACTACTTCTTCTATGCCGATTATTTTCTTTGTCAAGATGATATCCATTATGTCCTTCAAAAGATTGTTGAATTTGAATTTAAGGACTTATGGTACCGGATAGGACATTGAAACAGATTCTACACTTATAAGCCTTTCATATGGGTGAACATTGGTTACAGGATTCCAAACGTTGAGATAACCAGTCTTACCGTCTACTAAACCTTTTCATGATTCGGGAAAAGTAGAATATTGAAATAGTATCTTGAAGCAACAGAAGAGACAGTCGTTGTAGCAGTCATTGTAATAAAAGGCACCAACAAAAATCTTCTAGTTCATCCTGATGATGTTTATTTGTTCCAGTAAGGTTGTTACACTGGATGCCATCGATGACAAGGTTGAATTTGCCGAACCTACTCATAAATTACTCCAACTGATCACCATTCAGTTCTTGCACATCTGTTTTCAAAGGTATACCAAGACAGTAGAAAGCAACCTCTGCATCACTGATCCTAGAGAAAAGAGACAGGACATTGATACAACGGGGAATATGTCTCTAGCAAATCCTCTTCCTCGTGTATGGTTTTTAGGGAAATCTAAAAACACTTCCACCTTATCAGATTTAAGTGGAACAACTTTATTCCTTCCAATCCATACCAGATTCCATTTTCGGCACTCATCAAGAACATACTTTTGGACACTCGAAGCCCAGGAAGGCCACCATGTTTAGTCAATGAAAAAGCATCATGTATGGCGCAAGGAGAAAGTAGAATAAAAGGAAATATGTTCTCAGTTGGCAGATTATGAACATAGCCCCTTTTCCGTGCAGCCGCATAAAAATACTTTGAATCTACAAATTCTGGCTCTACATCAGTACTGTGATATTTCAGTCCAAGCACTAACTGGAACAAGTGCCACGTTCTCGTAGTAGAAATAAGGAGGTCCAATAGCATCTTCTTAAAGTGTTATTTGAGTTATCTGATCTGATCCAGTAAAAACCCCAAAATCAATCATTGGATTTAGAAGATGAAATGTAGGTCGTCTTCATTAAGGAGCTTCTTTTCAAGCTTTCTTTGCTTCTTCCTTTTCAAAAATCATAGCCTGAGTTTCGCCTTTGCTTATAATTGGGGTCATTGCATAATGGTTTCCTATCTTCTACTGAAAGAAGTGCGTCAGCAACCTTAGCCATTTGAGCAGCACATATAAAGTATTTCAACTCTGTAATTGATGAATCCGGAACACATCTCTCCAGGGCTATTGAAGCTTCAGCCTCTAAGTACCCCATTTTTGTCAAGTATAACAGTTTACTCTCCTCATTAGAATCAGAATTCAGGATTTCCTCGATATCAGAAGAACTATCAATATCTATGAAATCATCCTGAAAGATTGCTTCATAATCAGATGAGCAGTTATCAGAATCAACATGTTGTATGGGTGCGGATTTTTCAAGAGCATGTACCATTGTATATGTAGTCTTGCCATTGCATCAGATTATTGTTCACATGAATTGGTTTCTCTCTCACAGAAAAGTATATTCCAGAAATAGCCTTCACTAAAAACAAGGTTCATTGTGTCAGCCTGGAATAGATTACCAAGCGATTTATACCGCTCTGTCCGACTAGACTCCTTCAGAAAGACACATATCTCAGATGTTTCTGTCAGAATGATTGAGCACTTCTTAAATTTGTGACAACATGAAGAGAATTCTTGTTACTTGATAACACTATTGTTTAGTGACACCAGAATGAGAGTATTCAATATAAATAGATTTGGGGCACGAATAAAGCCGCAAGTACCCACCACAGTGCATTGTTAAAATTGGACCTCATGGGGATCATGACATTTCAGTCAAACAGACATTGAGAGTGATTCAGACTGATCCATGTGGGGCATTTTAAAGGCTCAGATTAACAAGAAGCAAATATCGGGGCATGCTGAAAGCCCATTTCAATCAGAATTAGGATTGTTGATGCATTTTTGAATATTTGTATTAGCAAATGCTGGGGCATGTTGAAGGCCCACATCATCATGTGTTAAAAATCATTGACTTGAGTAGATATTTCCAATGAGACAGAAAGATATGAAGAATGAAAATGGTGAAACAATAACAGTTAATCTGACTACACATAATTGCTTCGTTCATCAGGCAGTTGTATTAGGGTCCTGTTATTGAACAAATATTTATTCAGCAAGTATGGTTTCAAATACCCAATCTTCTTAAACCATGTGTCACATGACAGTGTGAACTTTGTTAAGCTACATCACGGTTGCATGAATAAAGATGGTCCCCTTGTAGACCATTCGATCCAAGGATCAATTCCTCGAGACCTCGAACTCTGAATTTGGCCTTTTGTGTGTCGGTGATAATTGAAAATATTTCTTTGAGATTCCTGTCAGTTAGTTTCAACCATACTGTTGAGGTTACGAAACTGTTTTTCACATACATTTTGTTTACTTGATGACATTAAAGAGAGAAGCTCATGTATATTGCTCTTTCTCGATGTTACTGGGGTTATCATTGCCAGCTAGACTGAACTGAGTTTTCATCTATTTGGTTTATCATGTGCGTTTCATCCCCAGCGTCAAGAATTCTACGGATATCTTTCCATACATGGCTATTATAGTGGGTGTGTTTCTACTTCTTACAACGCTCATTACAGAAGAAAGCGTAATCAATATCACTTTTGCCTTTGCCATTGATGATATCAAGATCAGTTAGTGTCTCTTATTCAGTTCGACACTAGCATATTTTATGAATTTGATCAAGTTTTGGTCATGAAACACACCAACATCTCACTTGTATTCCCATTGAGTTTTGTTCTCAAGTGATCTTATGACATCATACAAAAGCTTTGAACAAATATGCAAAGAATTTCAATGATTGAGAAATCTTGGCAGAAACCACAGGAAAGGATGAATGTGTTGTCAAATGTTTTACATCTGATTAGAAACCACAGGAAATGATGAATGTGTTGTCAAATGTTTTACGAACCAGTTATTCCGATGCTAAACCAATGTTGTTATCATATGGTTTTCCTTTATTGATCCAAGATAAATTTTGTCTTCATCAACCCCAAGATTAGAAATAAGATATGATGAAGATTTCTTTCCATAGAAGGAGAACTGAAATTTTAAACAAGAAAATAGTGGTGCCAACTAAGGTTGAACGACAGGTTGTTGTTAAGCATCTCGACATGATATGGTCCAAGTTGCCTTATTCGAGATCTGATTATATATGGAGACATGAAAAAGATTTGGAATAAATCTTCCTTGTGATGTGTTTCAAGAGTTAAATTAGAACAAACTCTACTCTCCTAATTAATCCCTGCTGAGTCAGGCATATCTACATCTACACTCTTCAAAGATGATAGATTCTCTTTTCAAAGATGATAGATTCTCTTTTTAAAGATGATAGATTCTCTTTTCAAATATGAAAGCTTTATGGGATTTCTACACAAGTCCAAGCAAAGAAAGCCGATGTTATCAAAGATAAAATGGGGTATCAAAGTCATAATTCTGACTACAGCAAGAGTTCCACAGATGAAACATTTCTTCTGAGACTTAAATGAAGCAAAGAAGACACAAAGATACAAGTTGATCAGATGATTCTGCAGAAATGCAAGCTTGATAGCATAAGTTGCTACACTGATATCCAGAGGTAACCCTAGAAATAAATGATGAAGTGAAGGAAGACCTAGTTCACCACTTTGAAGTCAAATGAAGATTGCATCAAAATTCATGCATTCATAAGAATATTATTTACACAATAGACAATGCATTACATTGATACATATGATTGCATTCAAACATAAGGTTTTGCAGATCTTCATATGAAAA